TTTCACAGTGACATTTGGCTCACATGAGGTGTTGAGACCCAGAGTCTATACCTAGAAGGCAAGTTTCAAGGAGAACTAAGATGGAATAAAAACTTTTCATATTCAGGAAGAACTTAAACCATGTTCTATATTTGTTGGAATTTCTTTTTTTTAAGACTCCATAGCTTATCTTTAAAGTGAACCAGCTCTTTCCAAAACAACGGTTCTTCCAAAATATGGCACCATGGCAGATGGACCAGTCTCTAGGCCCCAGGCTGCACCCCTTAGCTTACCTCTCTGTATCTACTGGCTGCTCCACGCACCACAACCAGCTCCAGCCACTTCAGACTGTCATTCAAGGTACCCCAGAAACATTAATGGTGTGGACTTAACTTTTTGCTGATCAATACATAACTTAGCAGGATCTTGCATTTGACTGATGCCTTTACTTGTGCTACAGATCCTGAGTGGTCATGGTAACCACAGCCACACAAACTGTTCAGGAAGGACCAAATCTCCCCGTTTCCAAAATTCACTAAGAACAACAAACCTGGTTTTGCTCCACACAGTTAAAGATTTGAACATGATTGACTCACACCAGCCAAGAATAGGATAAGCAGGGGGCAGACAGAAGAGGGGGTAGATGCCACTGTGTGCAAGCACCTGGGGGGAAGGCAGCAAGAGGCAGGGGTCAGCCCACGTGATTCTTGTTGCCTGCCCAACCACCACCTGCCCCCCTGCTGCAGTGGTGTGTGGGTGTGAACAGATATTAAACACCCCTACCCCCTGCCAAAAAAAAAATTAGATTCTACACATGGAAAATTATAACAAATCTCCTCTTATGTCCAGAGTCATCTTAGATTCAGGCAGACGCGACAAGTGCTCTCATGCAACAAGATGAAAATCGAGAAATAAATCCATCCCCATCTCAGCCTGGGGAAGGAAGAGAGACCTCCTTTTCCCCTCCATGTGGGCCAAAAGGAATGGGGAACATCAAGCACACACATTCTGCTACCCCACAGCACAACTCTGGAAGAAGGCAGTTGTGATACCATTTGTTTTCGTTGCAATGCTGTTGCTGGAGGACAATTGCATCTCAGCTTGCCAAAAGTCTACAGAGCTTTAGCTGGTCAGGTGATAAGGACAGAGGTATAACACGACTGGCATTGTCTTTGCTGACAGACAAAAACAAAAGGCCTTTTCTGTCTGTCCCCCCAAAGCTCGAGAAGGGGAAAAGGTATGTAAAGCAACGATTGTGCTGTTTCCACACAGAGAAGAATACAAGAAGGGGCGTTCTGTTCTACACTGGACATTCCTTCAATTCATCATTTATAAGCTTTGATCAAACCCAGGCAGCAACGCTGCTTGAGAAAGCCTCTTTTACAGTGATCAGGGAAACAAAAGCAGTTAAAAAGACATAGGGTACATCTGCTTTCTTTATCCATCATAGCTGGACAACTGGTACTAAAAGGCACTTCACACAAACAACAATGAAATGTTGATATCCTCTGCCCCAGAAGGACAGTTTAAAAACCCAGTGAATCTTCTGCATAATCAACATTTTTACTGTTTCAGGTCTAACTTCATCTAGCTTTGTAGTCTGTTACCTTGCAAATTATAGCAAACCTCAGAACAAGAGAGGAAGAGACTACAGTTTACAGAAATACTCATTTACAGAATTTATTTTGGGCTTACATTGATCCACAATAGCTCAGAGTGGTGCAGCATGTTAACAGCAGATATTCACTGGTTAAAAAGGAAAAGGGGTACATGTGTTCAATGCATACACATTACAGCATGAACACGACATTCACAAATGAAGCATTAATTCGCCCTAATCCTATGTGTTCCTGCCCAGGGCCTGAAGGGTCAAGGCCTATTAAGCATCTTTATTAAATGAAAGCTATGTGGAAGCAATGAGAATGTTAATATTTGGGAGTGATATTGAAGAAAAGCCAGAACAGAAGGAAAGGGACCCTGAGAGAAAGATTCAGGAGGACAGAAACAGGATTCAGCTTGGAAATGTGTATTCAGTAGACCTTGGGAGAATCACATAGCACAAAAAATACCCAAAAGGAAAGAAGCAAATGACTCAATACTGAAGGAGCTGAGAAGTGATGGACATGAGCAGCCCAAATAAGCTGCATCCCAAAGCTGCATTTGAACAGCAGAATATTCTTACCATATTTGTTTTAGCATCCATCTGGATTTGTGTATGCAAATGTAGTTTATTCAGGGCACAGGTTGGTCGAAGCAACATATTTAACATGCACAGAAACCACGGCTCCAAACTTCATACAACAGAGGGTGAGCAATGGTGAACTACTGCAGCTGCTGAACCTTCACTTCTGTATTGATGTCTCAGCCACACACCCAGTGACACTTAGAGGCAGGTGTCCAGGTTGTAGCCCTACTGGTCTAGAGGCAAAAGGAATCAGGACTCACTTAAAGGTGGACTTTTGATTACTCTGACTCATCCAGTTTAGCTCCACAGTTAGGACGGGGAGTAAACTTCTCGTAGCAGGGAACTCACCATGTTTGCTTCTCTCAAGGTAATTAACACTAACAGGTACTACACATAAGGAGCACAGACAAGTACCAAAGGACTGTCTTAATTTTAAGGCAGAAGCTAGGGCTTTCTTTACAATTGTGTACTAGATTTCTACAAATAGGAAGAATAGGAGGCTCCTTCCTGGATTCTGTATCAATTAAACTACTATAGAAAAACCCATGTACATTGAAAATAAAGAGACAGATCATTTTACCGTAAAGATGCATCAAGAGCCTGACACTTCTTAACAGAAAACCTGGACTTTACCTATTCCCTTCAGTCCCTCCCAACATAGTGAAGAAGGCATCCTACACTAAAAGACCCTCACAATGCACGGTTTGCTGTTAGGGCATCAGTCACCTGCTAGGAAGATTTCAGCAGCCAAAACCTAAATAAACCAACCATTAATGTCACTAAATAAGGCCACAAATTGTTTACTGCTATGATAATTTTTGCATTTGCTCATTAGGGTATAAAGAGCAGGTAAACAGAGCTCTCAAAAGAAGGAGACCGACTCATTGAATTAAGTGTCTGTTGCTCCACGGGAGACAGTAATTGCACTGCGACACCACTCACACAGTAAAGAGCTTCAAACTGACAGGAAGGAAAAAATTAAAAATTAAAGACCTGTGTTTTAATTAAACCCCATGAAAGTCAAGAGCATGGATGGAAGAACAAGCAGCTAGATCAGGTGAGCCAAGCTTGAGACTGGGACTGAATCAGACTCTTCCTGAGCAAGAGAAACAGGATCCCCTGTCCTGGCATCCAGATCTCAGATTTAGCTTGAGTCCTGAAAGCCTAGAAGTGTGCACTGGAAGCAATAAATTGCAGCATATGGAAGCGATCATGCTGAGACACTCTGCAGGCAAAGCAAGTGGTTAGTATTTTAAAGTTTCACAGCTGCAGCTCTGCTTTTGCCTCTCAGGCCTCAGACAGACAACATGTGATGCCAACTCCAGTTTAAGTAGCCACCAAGAAACAATGTAAACCCTACATACTATGTCAACTTCACACAATCTGGTGTAGAATTACCCCACAGAAAGAAATGGGGACAAAACTCCAATTTTAGCATAAGTGGTAGTATTGGAGTGATGCTGTATTCATTACCGTCCAGGAATTATGTGAGGCAAGAATTCTTGGGTGATATCTAACTGGACTGACTGCACAGCTGGGATAAGGATGCAAGGCATTCTTCATCAGGGCTTCTAGATCTCACCCCCAAAAAAAATCCTTGCCTCTTGCATCAGTGTGTCATCTGCCTATTACTCTGTGATAAGCTGCAGTTTGCTCAAAGCAAGACAGCTTATTACTTGCCTCCCTACCACCCCAAGTTAATGTGTTGTAATAGCCACCTACAGCATGCACCTATCTTGGGATAACTACGCTCCCATCCACCCTGGATCCTCGTGTACAAAACCAATATAAAGTGACACTGGTGTCTTCAATAGTCTCTGTCTGATAATTACATACTAGTAGCTTAGAAAAAAACAAAGGAGAAAAAAATCCAGCCAGATACTCATTTTGATCATTAGCTAGATGCTGTATCCTATAAAATGAGGAGTTATGCATCTATTGTAAGGTAATTTACACTGACCTTTGCAAATGTTTTCCTTCCAGTCAACTTCCCCCCCGCCCCTCAACACCTGCATTTCTCTCAGATAAGATTTTGTTTGAGCAAAATACTGAGCTATTAAATGACAAAGGAAAGTTCATTTTCTCCCATTACAAAAAGTTTTTCCAACTGGCCAAGAGTTAAAAGTAATATTTGTACATGGGATGTGTTAATGAAACAATGAACAGCATTCCACTACAGAACCTGACCAAGTTACCAAGGTTTGAAAACAGTCAAACTCTGTTCTCCTGCGTTTTTTAAACATGCATCCAAACTGACTAACACATGCATGTGCTGCAGTATTTAACTCACTAATCTACTCTATGGATTTGCACTGAGCTGATACCCCACCATACTTTATTGAGAAAGGAAAGAAATGGAGGTGAATAATCATACTGATCGTATCAAAGTCTCATTCTGAGACAGGTAGTTCCAAGTGATTCCTACCTTCTCCATTCACTGCTCATGTGAATTCTTTGCATTTCAAAACCTTTTGTGCTGGGATTGTCCACTATCACTGCCATTTTTAAATAGGCATATGGGGGTCATTACAGGCTAGGAAGACTTGATACAACAGATAGAAAACAACTGATTTTTCTGATGTGCTGGACCCATGATTTAGGCAACTTACTGGATTTATAATCTGAGTACAGATATACAATGGGACTACTAAAATTTCCTTTGGAAAGTGCTCTGAGAATAGCAGACAAAAATAAATAAATATTAAAAAACAAATGCAGCTTTGGTCATTCAAAGGCTTATAGTGCCAGAGTAGGCAAAACAAGATCATACGTACTTCCTCAATGAGGACTTTATCCATGACAAACTCCAAGTTTCAATCCTCAACATACTGCAAGCCTATTCAAGCATAACTTGCCATCCTTTCAAGTAAGGTAGTATATTTCTTGTGGTTCTTGAATTCAAAAATAGATGGTAATAATAGAAATTGTTTCTGATCTTGTAGCAGGGACTAGCATCCTGAGATTCTATGGTGGTTGAGCCCAAAGAAGATGTTTCAGCTAAGACAACCTGCCACCACCTTTTTAAACCAGGTCATCTCAGCCTGGAGCATCCCTTGCCCATTTGGCTATCAAAAACTGCCTTTCTGGACATGTCAGCCTATAAAAAGTACTAACCTAACCTGCTACTGCTTGGCTTTTTGAGTCTGTTGCAAAAGATTTTCTCTCTAAATTTCAGGCAGAGCAAAATAAATGCAAGTGAGTCACGATAAAGTACGTTTTTTAGTGGGAAGATCATTTGAAATTCAGGATAAGGTTAATTTGCCTCCATGTTGTTTGGTCTAAAATAGGACTGTATGTGCCTTTGGAGTCTGTAGTAGGTATACGCGTATGAACTGAAGTATCAGACTTGAAAAGTGATTCGGTGTTAAAACACGTGAGCTGAGAGGATCAAATCTCACACCCAGCATGGAAAGATCCAGGTCAATATTCTAGCACGTTTGGAATTCTGCTACCACTGCCCAGCAGCTTTAAATCAAGTAAACTAATATTTCAGTAGACCTCAAACCAAAGAGCTCCAAAACGGACAGAATTTACAGCTTATACATTCCACGGGCGTGTCTCTCTAGTGTTCCACAAGGAAAGGCCACACACAGTAATAGCCTTATCAATATATTGGGATTTAGCCTAGAAGGGTCTGGAAACAGTCACCATTGAAAATGAAGCCTTAGTTCTGCCCACTTCTTTGCACTTGTTTTACACTACAAATATCTAATCACCTGGAATTTCTCATACAAGTTTACAGGCCCCTTCAAAAGCTTTATAGATTGCATTGAGATTTTAAGTATGCCACAAGTTCCAGACAGGGGATTAGACCCATTTTACAGACAAACTGTGGTAAATACGAATTTAGAAGAACTTGCCTGACATGACACCAAATCTGCTGCATTTCAAGACAAACCCACAGAGTTCTGCTCAGCCTCTTCACTTTACCCACAACACCTCTCTCTTCTGAATCTCAAAACTAAAGCTCCTGTGCATATGGACACCAAAGCAAAGCTAAACCAAAAAGGGTCTCCAAGATCTGAGCTTTTAAA